TTCTAATTAACAATTAGTGTGTAACCCGTCAAAATTATGATGATATTTTTCTGAAAGAATTTAGGCAAGCATCCTTAGTTACAATAATTAATAATAATTATTTTTTTAAAATTTAATAATACTTAATAATTTATTAATAATCAATTATTAATAATACAATAATTTTTAAAATTATAGAATTATATATTATTATAATATGGATTCTTGATTAAAAATAATTAAAAGAACTATATTATTAATATTATTGAATAATTATTGAACAAGAAACTAAAATAGTTTATTGGTTAAAATTTGAGCTATTTATAATTAATTAATCAAAATGTGAAATATAACAAAAATAACTAAAACAATTCAAGTAATGATAGCAAATAAAATAATAAAAATTAATTGTGTAATAATTAAATTAGATCTAATAATTTTATATAAATATAGTATATATCTTATTCTAAAAAGTTAAATTATTGTAAAATAATAATCTCTTCTCAATAAACTTCAAAATTATAACTTATCTTAAGTTATATATTATATTAATTTTGGTTTTGAAAGATAAATCACTATTAAATAATCAATTATTATAATTAATTTAAAAGATAGTTACTTAAAAGACTTATTATTATCTTTAAGATTATAAAAAAACTTAATAAAATTTAGTAAAATTATTGAATATTATTCTAGTTTATTATAATAAAAATATATATTATTTATTTTTAGTTATAGTTTTTTATTTTTTATTATAAAAACTTAATTTATTATACTTTTAAGTTGGTAAAAATATATAAATAATATATAAATAACTTAAATTTTACAAAATAGTAATAATATATAATTTTATTAATAAAATATAATAAAAATAAAAATTTTGTTTTATATAAAAATTTTAAATTTTATTAATAAAAATTTTTTATTTTTATATTAAAATAAAAATTATAAGTTATAATTTAATATATATTTTTTGAATTTTTTAGATTTTTTTCTGACAAAGTTGTTCTAATTATAAAAATTTTTTATAGAATTAATTATAAAAAATTTTTGTAATAACTTAGCAATTAGAATAACTTTATTAGAAAAAAATCTAAAAAATCCAGAAAAATATATATTAAACTATAATTTATAATCTTTATTTTTATATAAAAATAAAAAATATTTATTAATAAAATTAAAAACTTTTATATAAACAAAAAATTTTAATTTTTATTATATTTTATTAATAAAATTATATATATAATTCCACAATTTGAGTTACTATATTAAAATATTTTTTTATTTATTAAAAAATAATAATTATTTGTAATACTAATTATATTATTTTATATTTTATATTGTATTTAATAATAAATATTATATTTATTTAACTTTTAATTAAAAATTCAGTATTATTTTGGAAATTATTAATAAAATTATTAATTAGCCAAATTTCAAATTTTAAATTATAATTTATATATATAATTTTAATAAAATTATTTATTTATTTAAATGAATCTCTTTTTGTAACTTGTAGAATTCCAAAAAAAATCTGGTTTAGTTCGAGCTTGAACTAAACTCGAACTTGACAAAAAGTCCAGTTCAAAATTTGAACTTAATTAAAGTCTAATTCGAATTTAGTTCAAATTTTGAACCTGACCAAAAGTTCAGTTCAAGTTCAAGTAATTATTAGTTGATATTATAAGTAAAGTTATTATAACATAAACTACAAATTGATATAAGATAGTTAATATTTAGAATAAATATTTAAGAAGTTATATGAATTTAAAAATTAATTTTAATCTACTTTAGTTTTAGTAAAATAAATATTTATTTTGCTATAGTAATTATAAACTATGATTATAAGTAAATTTGTAGTCAGAAATAAAAGTTACAAATTGGTATAAGATAGTTATCATTAATAATAATTATTCAGAGAATTACATAGCATTTATGATCAAATTTAATAAATATAAAAATAAAAATACTTTAGTTATTACTATGTAAACTTTTAATTTTTACTAAATATCATAAATTGTGCTTGTAGCTTATATTTAGAGCTATAAATCAGTATATGATACTATATGCTGAGCTTTAATTGAACTTAAATCAGACTCAAACTTGTATAACAGTTCAGTTTGAGTTCAGTTCAAACTTTGAATCTTTCTTGAACTCAAGCCAAAGTTCAGTTTGAATTTTGAACTAAACTCGAATCTGAACAAAAATTCAGTTTAGTTTAATTCATAGAAATACTAGTAACTTGTACAAAATAATTTTTTACAAGTTATAATTTATATATATTTTATTTTTAAAAATTTGATTTTTATTAAATAGAAATTAAATTTTATATTATATAATTTATATTTAATTATAATAATTTTTTTTGTAATTATACTATATAAAAATTTAGCTATAATTATACTTTTTTAATTATAATATACATAGTTTAATTATATTAAATATTATATATTACTATTAAATTTTTTGAAAAATTATCATTTTTAACTAAGTTATTATATTTAATATTAATTAAAATTTTACATGATGAAATTCAATTAATCAAAAATAATATATACACATCCTATATTATATTATCAGAAATTGAAAAAAAACATAGTATAATTAACATTATTGCTTTATATTAAAATTTATTATTTATTAATAAATATTAATATAAAGCAATAATGTCAATTCTACTATGTTTTTTTTCAATTTCTGATAATATAATATAGGATGTGTATAATATTTTAGATACTAAAAATATTATTATTATTATTAAAATTAATATTAAAAAGTTTTAACTACAAATAATTTTATAATAAAATGAATAAAAAATATATAATATTATAAATTATATTAATAATTATTTGATAATATATTTGTTTTAATAAAAATATTAACCAGTTTCAAATTGGTTCCAATAATTATTAATTTTAAATAAATTAAATTGTTTTAATTACAATAAGTAATCCTTCTTAAAATATTATTATTAAATTTTATTGATAGTTTATAAAATAAAATTATCTTCAAAATTAGCAATTTTCTGGAACTATTTTAATTTTGAAATCATTTCAAATTCTATATTTTAAAGAATTCTGATTCTCACAATATTTATTATTTATTTTCAATAAGTAAGTCATATTAGAATATTATTATAAACAAGTTTAATTAATAACTTGCAAGAAAAAAATTATCTTTAAACTAGTAATTTTCATGAAATCATTAAAATTATTTGGAATTGGTTAATATTCCTATATTTTAATGATTATTTATTTAAAATAAATTTCAAAATATTGGATGTCTTTAGATTGCATGCACCATAACTATAATAAAATCATTTCTTTATAGTTACATTTATAATAAATTATTATTATTATTATAATATAATTTCTCTTATTAATTTATTTTTATTGGTTAATTTTACTTATATTTTATTGAATAATATAATTATTTATATTTTTCTATGTTTATTTGTTTATATCTATTTGTTATATTTTTAATTTATTTATTTATAAAACTAGCCAAATAAGTAACAAATTAATACTATTCAACATGTATAAATATAATGCTTCATCTTGTGAATGAAGAATGGATTTTGACTTGCAAAACATAAATACCAAAATTTTTCAAATCAATTGAAAAATTTTTATATATCAGAAATAACAGATTCGAATATTTTGAATATAGATTACCAAGAGACTATGCATCTGAAATAGTATAAGATGTGTAATAAAATAATGATTCGTGAATAAACTTGACACAAACAAGGAAAATTAAATATTTTTTCGATCTGAGTATATGAATTTGTCATCCAAGTCATTAATACTGTTATGTACCTTCTACATATTTTTAGAAACATTGAAATCCTTTGTTAATGTTTTTGAATCATTTGCAACATATAGTATAGCTACGGGGACATGATTAGACATAGCTCCAGTCGTCTCAGGGTGGTGTGGAGTCGATGATTTTGTATTAAACGCCCTTTTGCAGCACGCTATACAGAAGGTCAATACAACCACAGCAGTAATAATAGGACCAATCAATGTCAACCATCTGAGATCTGGCATTGCACGTTCCCCAGTCGAACTAGTGTTTTTCGGCGTGGTTGTATTTTCATAGGTCGAATTATCAACAACAGTCAAACTATTGCTACCACACGCCTGAATCAATGTATCACGCATCTGTGATTCGTTAAATTCATTAACATAAAGTCCGCTAATATATCCGTTAACAGAAATGTTGTTTGGCAACTGATAGGCGGATAGCCAGCTCAAATAGGCGTTTGTAATTTTAAGATAACAATCCGAGCAAAGTATTTCATTGGGTATCTTGATGTTACTGTTGGCGTCCCCGATATGACCGTTTGGTGGGAAAAGAGCCACATTAAGATTGAGTGAGTGGTTTCGGAATTGGTCGACTACGTTCAGACCACAAAATCCTATCAAAGGGATAATTTTGATCAGGTGATTGATAAGCTCCGATCAATAATGATGAATTACTAACCATCATAGCCATTACTCCCATTACTCCTATCAGGAATACATATAGCCTTAAAAGCTGGCACGGCGAAATAAGCGATAGAGAAATATTTATTCAAGAGAGAAACCCAGACTGATTGCGACAAAGTACCATTCTTATTAATATTATTCAACTCATAAGCACAACTACTTAACAAATCATTGGCAATATCGGTGGCGGTCTTTTCATTACAATCATCATAAGCATTAGATTTATATTCTGGAATACAAAGCCTTTGGTATGTATCAAAGCTCATTTTATCGGTTTTGAAAATACATTTGTCAATTTTGGTTTCGGTAAGGGAGTATGAGTATAGAGTATTTTGGCAAGGTGAACAGCTTGGAACATTGTAAGAAGTTTCGCATGTTTCATAATCGCCGGATTGTCCCTTTGGCTGTGACGACTTACCGATACCTCTGGCTGAGGAAGAGAAAAGGAGGAATGGTGCCAGAGTGAGGATTGAATAGAGGATTTTCATCTTGGGTGATTTTTAGAGAATGGATGGATATGATGAAGATTATTGATGAGGAAGAAAATGTTGATGATATAGAGGTTATTGATATGAAGAGGAGAAGGATAAAGGAAAAGTGTCTTTAGGATGAACGTATGGGTTAATTGGACGTATAAAGTGTGACCAATTCAAGATATTTTATTTGGGTTACAAACATTTTTTTTGGAACTCTGGAGAAATTCCAACATCCTCAAAAGGTCATTTTCATTGTCATTGAGAGTACACGTCTCTGCGCACAATAAATTCTACCAGATCCAACTGCGCCAAGCACATGGAAACTAATCTTCGCTTTTTTTCCGACATATTCAACTTATCCAATAGAAATTGTCAAACAAACGTGGTACGAACAAATCTTACCTGACAGTTTGGATCAGAAAGAAGACTCTGAATCAGGTGAAGTATCGAGATCAGAGGAAGAATATTACGAACTTCCAAAATTCGAATCGTTAATATTTGAGTTGCCGTTTAAGAATTTTTATTCTGACAAAGATAGCGAAGAATCATTAGAAATTATGACCTCAATGAATACAGAACTGAACCAATTTAGAATGGATTTAGATATCTTAAATATCCAGGAACAATTCGGCCCAAGATTCTTCTCGCTGCTCAGTGTTGTCAAAACCGCCCCACATTTTTTATTGGACATATGTCCAATTTCAAATGGACAATGTCAAATTCAAAATGGACATATGTCAAATTCAAAACAACCCTGAACTCCTCAGTCCAATCTAGAACGGCAGGCGTTTCCGAATGGACGCTGATTTTAGGTTTATCGCCATCTATAATAATTCAACGAAATACCATGCGTGTTCACCGGTGACGATTACAAACGCTTTGTCGACAAAACGGCCGTCGATTTCATCGTATTTGCGCTTCTGGTTCGTCTCAAGCGACGAGTGTAGTTGAATAACATTCTGGGGTTTAGCAAAGATAGACATTAGCTATATGTGTCATTGCAAAAAGTGTTCAATCATTCTACGAAGGTCCAAGGAGACGCAAGAAAAAATAAGGTTGAAATCCTGAGACTATTAAGTGGATTCTCTATATGAAATATATGATCAAATATTAACACCAATATAATTTATTTTTCGGGTATATCCAGAGCACACGGCACATGCATACAGTTAAAAAAACATTTATTTTCGTAAAATGACTAACTAATACAAGATAAAAGCCTTGGACCATAACGGGAGGGGAAATAGTGCAGAGCGCTAGAAGTCGGTCCCACTAGGTCCAGCAATATTACTAGATAAACCGGAGGCTTGAAGGTTTACTTCCTAACTATTTAGATGCTTTGCATCATTCTCCGAATACTCTCCCATTTCATTAACCACCCACAGCTTAATCAATTCTATGGTTTCGGGTTTTGGATTTCTCGCTTTTTTTTTGTAGAAGCTTTTAATCATAGTACTGTTAATTTTGTTAATTTTCCTGATTGCATTCTCAAGTTTAAGTTTATCATCGAAGAGAACCTTAAAGTCATCACACACAGCGAGAGTTTCGCCAGTAGATATATAGCTAAGCTTGTTAGAGCCTGTTCGAGAACCTGTTTCGGTTCGTTGGTCCGATGCCTTTGGGCTTCCTAAGACGATTGATTGATTGGTTCGCAGTCGATACCTTGGTCTCAATTCGACTGACAGTAGTGTTAAGAATTTCTGTACTTCGGTGGTGTATTAGGCATCGTGTGCGGAAAGTTCCGAAGTGAACTTGCGGTAAGTTCAGTAGTGAATTTGGCAATGTATTTGACATCACGAGCGGATATATTACCTATGCCACGGGATTTGCTTTGGAGGTTTGATTTGCATATGCATGTGTTCAATTTCAGTCGGAATTTACTGATACGTAATTTAAGACAAATCGAAATTTGTGATTGAATTCAAGGCGAATCGAAATTTTTGAACAAATCAAAAAATTATCCTCATACTTGGCGTCACGTGTGTTAATTTCTTTCTTCATCGAGATGTTCTTTGGCGACGCGTAAAATATATCACATAGTGCCGATTACAAGGTGTGCGGGGATTTTCTTAGCGAATAGCATTGATTAAGAATATCGAGGTCTGAAAAATTTAACGAGTCATCTACAACCAGGAAAAATATGCTTAGCATATCGGTGTTGCGGAGCAGAACAGAACTCATGTCCCAGCTTCATCAAGTCCTCTTCGAGGCATACAATCCTTCCGGATCTCTGGAAGCGTGATCAATACATGTAAATTGTTAAACTAACATACCATAATATTTTTCGTAGGAGCAGATCGGTTAATATTATCGTAATAAACCGCCTCGAATAGTATTAGACCCCTCATAATCTGTACCCGGATCTCTTACACTCCATGTATATTTGACTTGATTTGTATCCCCTGGGTACATTGCATGAAGAAGAATATTAATTGAAACTATAAGTGTGAGAGTTAATATTGTTTCTAAAGATAAGTAATATCTGTTTGTGTTGTGAGCAGCTAAAATAAGCTCCAAAATCTTTTTTTAAACAAAGATAAATGTGTTTTGTAAAGTCAAGAATAATTTATGAATAAGTAAAAGTATTAATAATTTCTTTTTATTAATTCAAACAATTAAAACAAAAAATCAAATAACAATTATAACTTTGCAGTTAAGAGTTTATAAATAACTTCACAATTAAGATGAGAAATTATTAATCAAATAAAAGTTATTATTAACTAACAAGTAATTAAAAAAATAATTATTTTTTTTTCTAATACTAAAATATATATTATAGATAAATTATAAAATTTTGATTTCCAATAAAATATAAATTAAATCAAATTTTGAATAGAAATTCAAATTAAAATTTTAAAAATAGTTTAATTAATTAAAAATATAATATAACAAAATAAAATTTACTATAAGAAAAAGTAAAATTTTCAATAAATTAAAATAATTATCAAATAAAATTTGCAATTGCTTAATAAAACTCACTTTTTATTAGTTATATTAAATAAAACTTGTATTAATTATAATTGGTAAAATAAAAATCACTTTATTAATTATCTCAATATTATTAACAAAAATTTATATTTATGTAAATATAATATAATATAAATTAATAAGAACTTTCTTTCTTTTAAATAATACAAATCAATAAAAATATGCAAATTTTTAATCAATTTAGCAAAACAAATTTAATATAGCAAAAAATAATTAAAGTTTAATAAACATATAATATATATTTATTATAATATTAAAAATTAATTTTTAATATTAAATTTAAAATTAGAATTAGAGTAAAAAATTAAAATATAGTGATTAATAAAATTATAGAATTATATATATAATTTTATTAATAAAATATAGTAAAAATTAAAATTTTTGTTTTATATAAAAGTTTTTGATTTTATTAATAAATATTTTTAATTTTTATATTAAAACAAAGATTTTTTTCTGGATTTTTTAGCTTTTTTCTAACAAAGTTATTCTAATTGCAAAATTATTACAAAAATTTTTTATAATTAAAATATAAAATTAATTATAAAAAATTTTTAGAATAACTTTGTAATTAAATTAACTTTATTAGAAAAAATTCAGAAAAAATATATATTAAATTATATCTTATAATTTTTGTCTTGATATAAATTTTTATTATATTTTATTAAAAAATTGTATATGTAATTTATAATTCTATTAATTATTATATATATAAAATTATCTTTTTAATATTTTAATTAATACTTTAAATGTATATTTTTTATATTAATATTTCAAATTTGTTTTTTAAATTAATTAAAATTTATATATTTTTATTAACAAATTACTAAATTTATTAAACTTTAATTAATTTCTAAAAAAAAGTAAATAATATAAAAAATACAAAAAATAAATATCAAAATTTGCTTAAATATTAATAAAAATATCAAAAAAATAATTTTATAATATATAATTTTATTTTTTATATTAATTTTTTTTCTAATTTAAATAATATAATTTCTAATAAAAGTAATTATGAATATATTTTTTAATGATAAATTATTTAAAAATTATAAAAATTTATATATATATTTTCTAAAATATTAAAAACAAGTTTTCTTAATATAATAAATATATTAATATAATAAAATTTTGTGAAATTCATATCAAAAATAATAAATTGCAATTTTTAATATTTAAATTAAAATAAAAAATTATTTAAAAATATCTTTAATAAGTAATTTTGAAAATAATTTTATGAAAATATATTTTATAATATAAAGAATATATTTATAATTTAAAAAATTTTAGTCTATTTTTATTTAATAAATATTATTTAAATAATAATTTTATTATGAATTTTTTTAATAAAATATAATAAAATAAAATTTTATTATATTTTATTAAAAATTTATCAAAATAAAATCTTTTTTTGAATAATATTTATTAAATAAAAATGAACTATTTTTTTAAATTATAGATATATTTGCTATATTATAAAATATATTTTTATAAAATTATTTTCAAAATTGCTTATTAAAGATATTTTTTAAATAGTTTTTTATTTCAATTTGTTTTTTATAATATATTGAAATTATAATCATATATTTTATTAAATATTTTTTTTAACTTGATTTATTTATATAAATATATTGTTACCTTTTTGATTAACTTTTGAAATATTATATTTTCTTATATGTTCAACATATATTTCAAGTCAAGTGAGAGAGATATAATAAATAACTAAAGGTGGTAATGTATATTCATTAAATACTAGTCAGCTAAAAAGTGACTTAAGAAATTTTCTTATAATTTAATGTATATTTAATATAATAATTATGATAATAATTTATTGATAAATAAAATATTATAAATTCAATTTATTAAATTATTTTAATGATATAATATCACAATGTATAATAGGATAAACTATAAATATGATATTATAAACATATAAGAGATTATCAATATAATGTTACAAGATGTAAAAGATTATTAATATAAATTACAAATATATAAGAAGTTATCACAAAACTAATATAAAACTTTAAAACTTAAATAATAAATGTGCTAATTTCAAAAAAGTATTATTATCAAAGAAGTTTATTTTTGAGTTATTACTTAAATAATTGATTAAATAACTAATTTTTCTAAAATATATATTTCTTTTATATAAAATTGTTAATTCAAAACTACTAATAATATTTACAAGAAAATTGCTTATTTACTTGTTTGATTACTCACTTATTTGCTTATTTTGTAATTTAATATAAATATAAATTATCATAAATAAATGATCTATATATTATTTGTAAATAATAATATAAATAAATAATATAAATATAAATATAATATAAATAATAATATAAATAATAATATAAATAATAATATAAATAATATAATACAAAATATAAATATAAAGATTTTAACTAATTAAAATATAAATATGTATTCTTAAAATTATTCAATAAGATTAAATGATAATTTTGATTAATAATTAATGTGAAATTCCATTATATAACAATATGTTATTTTTCTTTTTGAATTTATTTTTCTTTAGTAAATATTTTTTTCATGTTAAAAATAAGGTTGCTTGCCGAAATTCCTTAGTGACTGTCTAAATTTTGTCGAAATTATAATAAACTATTAGTAAATAACCCG